AAGGCGGAGCTCAAGGCAAAAGAAAAAAAATCCTTGCAAGGGTATATTCTCTTTCCCCACCAGTAGTCTTATCACGGTGTTCTGGTTAATATTACGTCAATAGAATAAGAATCGCGGCTCACCTCTTCTCTGGGTTTAGTCACGTGATGTTCACAATGTGAGCCCGGGGGCGATTTGAAGTCAATTTCATTCGACAGGAGAGGGTGGTAAAGGACAAAATGGCAGCGCCCTGACATTGATGAAAATAGATGGATCCATCGGCTTAACTCTTATTCCGCAAACACAATTTTAATCAGACGACCGCGTTTAGAACGTCTACCGTCATTGCAAGGAAATGTTTTTGCCTCACTTGTGATGTGGAAATGCACTCCCTCGCATTCAGTACTTTGTCTGCTTGACATATTTTTCACATAACATGCTTACCCAGTGGGGTTTTTTTTCTCCGCACATGCGTGACTCATCCCGGGATAAGTCATTCCATGCCTTGATCCATAGCTTCAATGCCAGTTGACTCTCCTGGCCTCCAAGCAATATGCGTGTGCTTAACACAACCAAAAAGTTGATACCAAGTCAAAAGAACCATGCTAGTTTCGGCTATCTTGAGTCCTCTTTCTCCACCGAGGCTTTCCATCTGTCCAGCTCCACCCTATCTGTTAAGACAGGGGCTAAATAGCAAGCCTGGTCTTTATCCCCCTCAGTGCTCTTGCGCGGGCAAAATGGAATACAGAGACATAATGCCGCCTGAGTCAAACAGTCAAAGGCGGCCCCTTAAATTGCTTCCAATCCCCTTAACAAATCTGATGGAGAGGCTATGAATAACTCAGGGAACGCTCGTCTGCCATGATTTCTTGCCTGTCCTCTGCTCCCTGAGAAGTCAGAACCTCCGTATCAACTTGAATTACCTCACCACGTGCCACCTTTTCAGCTCTCGTAATATTTGGAACACACTGGCCTTCGGAGCGCCATTTTTCTATCAGCTCACTGCAGACAAATGACAACCCGCTATCACATGGACGCAGAATGGAAGGCAATGTTGACAGAGTGATTTCCTTGCTTAATGTGTTGCATACTTTAGTGGCTAGTTGAGTAGAGATTGGTATAGAATTTAGCCTGAGAGTGAGGCAGTGGACGGATTGAGAGAATCACTGCGTTGCAACAATGCCTCCTTTCTGGTGTCTTACTCTACAGAGGTTGGGTAAGGTTTATTTTGAAGTTGGTAATGATCAGTGAGAGTGCACACAAATTGTGCAGCATAAGAAACATCATATATTTGCATAACACTTGTATTGCACATTTGAAACTCGAGCGAAATGAAAAACTTTAAAATTACGTGAGCATAAACGTGCTTAAAATGTAATCACATCCGTCAAGATGACTTTGACGATCGCAACCATGACAGACAAGTAGGACAACCGCGACAGTTCATTCATGCGGGCAACGCAGCCGTGTGGCGCAAAGGCTTGATGTGTGCAGAAATGTTGGCGCACGCACTGGCTTGGGTGGGCGGGACAGTTTATCCTTTCAAGTTTCACAAGACCAGTGAAACGCATCGGAGAGCTGAAATAATTAAGCAATTGTAGATGGCCTCTTTTTGTAGTTAAGAGATTTCCTCCGCTTTGTTGTGATTGTTCTGTGAGGCCATTCTATCTCCAAAGGACAAGGGTTGTGTTGCATCTGCTGTCTCTTCCCGCGTGGCTCCCTTTTGTGCGTCTTTTAGCTGCAGCCCTTCGCACCGAAGCACGCCTGTAATTACCCTGCGACACGACATACCACTTAGCGCAAAGAATCCCTGTCGCTCCCGTTACGCAAGTAGCGCCTGCCCTCCCACACAAACACATTTTTAAACTCCAGTATGTATGCGACTTTCCCTGAGTGTCGGAGTGTGACAGCAGCACTCGCTCGCTCGCCGGGGCCACTAATGCTCGGCACTGCTCATATCAGCTGCGGCCTCCAATTCTGGCTGCAGTTTACTTGTCAACTCAAAGCAGATTTATGACACAGTGCGTAACAAAATACCCAGTCCAACGGAAAAGAAAAAGCTATAAATGTAGAAGTTAAACTAAACTGACAATTTATACAAAGAACACAATAATTACTACATAAATTAGAAATTTGTGTCCGTATTTTTGTCTTTATGGCAGTAGGGCACTTCCTGGTTCACAGAGGGTGACAGTGAGTTTGGTCGTACCATTTTTTTGTAATCCTTCATGAGGTTAAAACAGTTATATGGATTTCCTCAAACATGAACAAGACTAGCGTCTTTGACAGAATCTGAAAAATAGCTGTGAAAGGTACCTGATAAATTGTTGCAAAAATATGTCAATAAATTCCAGTTCTATACCTTTTGTCCAAATCATTGCAAAAAAATGCCATCCCTCTCCCAATTTTTTCTAATTGTTGCTAACTGAGAAAAGTAATATCAGACCACAATTTTTTTAAGCAGATTTCGAACATGATTGCAAGCAACAGACGAGTCAAACAAACAGGCTGAATTTCTGGTGTATGTGTGTCAGAAATCATATTCTCTTCTTTATACTGATACTCCGAAGCGACTTATAATCGGGAAAAATGTGCGTTACCTTACCGTCACCATATTTTGCCATCTTTCTATGACTCTAACATGTAGCAGGATGTCAACAAAGGTCTCGTTTTTAGGAAAGTAGTAACAGTGTCAATGAAGTATGTTGAAGTGATACATCTCAACTGTTCTAACATCGTTGTAGGTCGGGGAGTCGTTTAACCTGGCTTGTTAGCCGGCGTTGTAGAGCATTTTCACCACTTGTGCATGTACACATGCTTTTCTGGTGAACGTTTTCCTAATTCAATCATCTGACACCGCATTTTATTTTGAAGGATAATGCTGTCAGATGATATAGAAAAGACATTCAAGTTTTTTGTATATATATTTTTTTGTGGTATGTTGATTGTTTGAACTATTTTAGGCAACTACAAATATTTTTGAGTGGTCATCAAGTGCCATTTGCAGGGTCCCAATCCTCTGTGAAGAGCGGGGATTCTCTGTAATCCATTAGACAGGCTGAGACGTCACTAAGAAATACTTGAAAAGCACCAGTACAAAAACTGAATGTATCCCGACACAAAAGCTGTGCAAGTAATGGAACCTAAGTCGGTCTAAGTAGCCATCGCTCTCGGCGGGGGGCGGGGTGGCGTCTTTGTATCGAGCACATCCTCTACTTTGGGCAAATCATTTTTATTTATGCCTCCGTAGAACGACGTTAACTCAGATGAGTCTCTGGAATGAAAGTAAACATCAGGAGGAAACCGTAAAACCTGTGTTAAAAGTGAGCAATGGTGGCGGCAGACGGGTTTATATGGTTCGCAAACGACGCTTTCCAAGGCTGACATTGGATATAAGTAGGTGAAAGAGACAAACACTGGGATGGAGGAGGATCATTTGTGAAAAGAACTCCTTTTTTGAGTTCATCAAATGGATTAATACTCCCCATCTTTTCCTGAAACGGGAAAGCCATTCTGGGAGTGTCTGCAAGTACACCGTGTTCAGAATGGCTTTGCATAGAGGTTTTAGATTAAACACAAATGAAAAGTTTTTTCATTTCTGATGAGTGAGCCAATACAAATGAGCCCCCATTTGCCTACACATTTCAACTCACAGTGTAAGTAGAGGAGAAATCTTTGTGCACCCTGCTTGGCGATGGCAAGCCTGAAGACCGCAAAAGTGTCAAAATTATTGATATTTTAGTCAAAGAAGTCGTGGAGTAGTGGCAAAAGTTTTCCACAGATAAAACTTGGCAAGATGATGCCCCGCAGGGAGATTGAGGAATGTTTACCGAATGATCCGCTCTCTCCACAAAAACTAATCAACCAATCACGGCTGGATCCTGCCTAAGAGGCCTGATTGGCTGATTAAGGCGAAACTCATCAACGCGCCACCCGGCGCGTCTTCAACGCTTTGCTTCCTCGAATCTTAGAGTTGTCATTTTAATTAGAAGTACATCTCATTTTGTAAAAATAAATAAATAAACAGATAAAATAGTACAATTACAGATTCAACTCATGTACTGAAATGAACACATCGACTGAGATATATAAAATATCACTTTGATAACTTGCCATAAAAAAGGAACACAAAGAAATGTTCCCATTTCACTCTGACATCTTTCCTTGCAAGCCTGCGTGTGTGTGAAATGGCTCTTGGTATGTGGTGTGCAATGCAAACTATACAGGACAGCATTTTGCAAGTTGAATTTCCTCTTGACGGATTTGAATTTAATCAGTATTATTAAAAAAAAAATAATAATAAATCTGCCACTTTTCATTACCCGCATCATTCACTCCTCTTGTTATCTTTTGCGGCCGGTCTTGTTCTCACCTTCACTGCGCCTTTCACGTGTTCAGTTACAGGCTAGAGCAACACATGGAGAATGCAGGCAGATCAATGCTAGTAAATATTTCATGTCCAATTAGCCATTGCTGGGCCAGGAAATCCTGTCGGACTCGATGGTTGTTTCCTCCCGCTGCCCAATTGCCCTTTTTACCACCAAACATGCCTTGATGTGGATCTCCAGAAAGCATTGAGATATGCAGGGCTTCCCCTGACTCAAATTGAGGCAGAGGCAGTACCATTCTGACGCTGTGCCTCTGAACTGTGAATATACTGTTTTTATTGACATTTTACACAATGTTGTAGCTTCACTGGAATTGGGGTATGTGACAGACTTTTTATTTTATTTTTTTTTTTTTAATGTCCTGAGATACACAGCTCCCTGAATGTCTTAAAACTCATCCTGAAGATAATTGCCCCAATTATTCTAAATATTCCCCGACTGCTGCCTCTTTTACAGCCAGGAGTTACGTAAAGGGGCAAAAAAAAAAGTGTAAAAAAGTTTTCGTTAAAGAGGGGAAAACACGCAGCATGCAATTGCCTCAATGTCGCTGATGAGAAACTGCTCCATCGTCATCGCTGCTTATAGATCAAATATAATTTGCCTGATTTAACCAATCGCCTTTTCGCCTTTCAGATTTGTTCCTGACAACAGAAGGGCCAAAGTTTGAGACTTGGATCAGCAAGGTATGTTCAAAATTCCCTTGCAACAAGAAAAGTAAAAAAACAAAAAAACAAAACAAAAAAACAAAAAAAAAAAAAACAGTTATGCTGACACTGTATTGTATGGCGCCTGTTGCCAGAGTTTCAGTCAGCAAATGAACAGGGAGTTCTCCAGTTAAGGATGTGCCACGCCCCAAAACCGTTTAGGATCATCTTTCAATCTGTTAGCTTCGAATTCTGCCATGAATTTGTTGCCATTAGGGATGACTGTCCAAATCGTCGACTGTGCCAATTCGTAGTCTCAACAGAACTTCGTCTGGGAGACTCCCTTTCGAAAGTCAGAGACAATTTCAGCCTTCACAGACAGCAAGATTTGCTTCCGTTTACCGCACGTTTTCAGACCATGTGCGCCGTGCTTCCGGAAGTACAACAATATACCGAGTCAATCACGAGCATTGCTAAGCAACGTAGGAGGAACCCGCGCTGTACATTTTGTTCATAAACAAGAAGTTTGACTGTACTATATCCCAGTTTAGTTAGGGATTTGGCAGCGTCTTGTGGCATCACTTGCAAACGGTGAGGTTTTCAGTGAATAGCCAGTAGTATGTTTGAATAGTGAGCCAAAAACAAGAAGAGAATTACTCTAGGTTGGTTTACTTTGTGGATAGCCTGTGTTCTCTCAAACATTAGGAGGATGCACCTCCTTATTTTACTTCTCTTTTCCATCAACCTTACGGAAATGGGACCTGGTACGTACTACTTATTGCCGATTTGCAGTCTAATGTTTGTGCATTTAGTGTTGCCGATTGTTTCTGGAGCAATAAAAATGCAGTGTTGTTCTTCAACACCCCTGCCCCCTTACTCCTCCACAACCCGAAGTTGTTAACCTCCTGATCAGAGACGATGAGTCATGAAGCACCCACGCCTCTGTTCATTTGTGATCCGTGAAGCTTCAGTGGGCTGCTGGATTGTTGGCTGCTGCTGCTGCTGCAGGACTAGTTAATATTCTGCCGGTGCAGAGCCAGTGGAGACTGTGTGTGTGTGTGTGTGTGTGTGTGTGTGTGTGTGTGTGTGTGTGTGTGTGTGTGTGTGTGTGTGTGTGTGTGTGTTGTGAACCCAGTACACTGTGATCTAACTGCAGCTGACAGGCAGGTTTGAGGGCTCTCTCCAGGGTCCACCTTGAGTGTGTG